AGGGTCTTCACACTCCTTCACCTACTTCTACTAATTCCAACACCAATCTTACTGTTCTACTGGGTCCAATATCCATTGCAGTGACCACACAGATCTCATAGAACCATACTCATGGCTATGGGATTTATTTAGCAACAATTCAGATTGGCAACAGGAAAGAATTCCTGTATCCTGATGTATCAATCCAGACAACTTCTCAAGTGTGCTTGCAAGCCCTTTAACCTTTTGCCTCACAACATAGGTCAGTGCTAAAAAGTTCCGTTAGTCTTGCCATGTATACCATCTTCCTTCAGTCTTCCAGCAAGTTTAAGCAAAGGCCCCTGACCCTGAATCTGCCTCCAGGGGGCAACAGGTTCAGGTCAACTCTGTCCCATGTTGGACTCTGGCTCTCTGCTCAGACCACTGCTGCCCTCTTCAGTGCTGCTGTACTAGAAATAGCACGAGTGGGTACCTTTAACTCAAAGAACATTATTTTCTCACTTAGGAGGCTAGAAGCCCAAGTCCAGGCCCCTGCTTTCTCTTTCAGCTCTGAGAGAAAGCTTTGTCTTTTTTCAACTTCTGTGCCTTAGTTCCTTGACAATTGGCACGTGGCGTCTATCTTCCCCATTTTTGCTTGCTTCTCTGTGTCTCCTCTGCTTTTTTTCTATCTCAAAGGTGATTGGCTTAAGGCTTACCTTATATTGCTATGATTTCAACCAGACAAAACTCTGTAACCAAACAGGATTGCGTACATCTACAGCCATAGGCATTAGAATTGACTACGTATTCTGAGATACAATCTAATCTATAAAAGTGATTAAAGAGGTAGGAAAAATGAGTGCTAGATTGTCTTTTTTGTGTGTGTTGTTTTATGCCATTGAATTTATGCCAACACCAATGATCTTATAGGACAGAGTAGGGCTTCATTATGGGGTTTCCAAGGCTGTGAATCCTTTAGGAAGCAAACTGCTTCATCTTTCTCCCAAGGAGCAGCTAGTGCATTCAAACTACTGGCCTTTCTTTTGGTTAGTACTCACACATTTAAATATTGTGTCACCAGGGCTGCTTGGCCCACACATGCTGCTGCTGTTATGTGCCATCGAGTCAACTCTGACTCGTAGCGACCCTTTGTACAATAGCTCTGAACCCTGCTCTATCCTGAGCTATCCTCACTGTCTCCAACACACCCACTCCTGTTACTCTAAACACTGAGTCAATCCTCCTCATCCAGGGTCTTTTTCTCTTGTGCTGTCGCTCCACCCTTCCAAGCATGATGTCCCTCTCCAAGGACTGGTCCCTCTTTACAACATGCCCAAAGTATGTCAGACGGAGCTCCAAAATCCTTGCTTTGAAGAAGCGGCCGGGTTTCACCCTCTCCAAGATGGTTCTGTTTGTTCTCTTAGTCCATGGTATATTCAAAACTATTCTCCAGCACCACAGCTCAAAGGCATTGATTCTTCTTCTATCATCCTTAGTTATTGTCCAGTTCTAAATAAATGTTCATTGGCTATTTTAATTATTTCTCATGGTGAATAATGTGTTTGCAGTGTAGTAGGTAAAGCATAAACAAATCAGGTGGGAAACAAGAGACATTATTATAATAAATATATTTTATTTTCTTTTTCTCTTACAGTTCAAGAAAATGAGACATTACTGTAAGCTAAAAGGATATCTCTGCGTTTGGAAACACTCTTTGCCATTTCATCAATACAGATTGTTGGCTTGGAAATTAGAAACCAATATTTAATTAATATATAGTGTGTTGTTATACAGTGATAATAAGTATTTGATCTTAAAAAGGGGTATCATGGCAAAAGTAATGTGGGATACAGTAGATCCAAATAAGGAGTTTCCCAAACATTTGACACCATTCTACTCAATCCAACCTTCCCCAGAACCTCTGAAAGAGTTCCACAAACAACACTGCCTCACATACACACACACACAAGGAGTAAACCAAATAGTTAAATCATTTTGTCCTCAAACTGCCTCTAACTTAACCCCCCCCCAAAACCCAAACCACCAAAACCAACCAATAATCACAAATGCATTTTTTTAGAAAGAAGACAGATTCTTCTCCAAAACCAGCAGACATTTCCTTTGAGGAAGATAGAGTTGACCTAAATGGAACCATTCAAACATATTCAAGTTTTACCACAACTATAATGGCTGGAAGTTTTAGAGTAGTGTCTCTCAAAAGGGGCGCAGGAAGTGCTGCATCCCATTATATGTGTGCCTTGTCTCATGGTCCTGTCTGAGACCACATCAGGGGAGCTATTGTTACTGGTGGTGATACACCACATCTCTTCAGTATTAAGACGTTGAAAACAAACAGAAAGAGAGAACCACTATATTAAAAGATACCTTCCCAGTGAAACCTTCAAATGCCCACTGCCTACCTTCTTGACTTGGGTAAAACTATCCCCACGTTAGACACCTCATATATAAACATGAGATCTTAAGGTTTACTATATTTGACACATTTTACACTGAATGCTTCCAGATCAGTGTCCTGCAAATGGTTTTAAAGTTTTAACCTCAAAGTGTACAACAGGCCTCAAGTTTACCAACCTGAAAAATAATTTGAAATGCTTGGTCATCTTACTCTGTTGATTTAGCATTTTATTTTCATCATTAAGTATGATGAAAGGCAACATGAGTAAAGATTAGATAATCCAGATACCCTTCACATAATCCAGACATCCTTCAAATTAATCATTATCTTCCAACTACTTCAGAACTAAACTGAGAACATTGTTGTTAAGTGCCATGAAGCTGTAGGGAACCAGAGTGACCCTATGAACGAAAGTCTTAAACACAAAACTTTCATCTTTTCTCTAAGTTCATAGAGTTTCCAGAGGCAAGCTTTTTTTGGAAGTGGATGCCACTCTTGCTTCCAATCCTGTTTTATTCAGGAGCTCCACAGAAACATTACTATTTATAAGCAAAATAGTTTAACAGTCATTATGTCTTTGGCATCACAGAAAAAAAAAACACAAACCCCAACCACATTTAAACTCGGTACCTTTCTTCCACCATAAAACTGAAGTTACAATCAAATGAAGTGGGAACCCACAGACCCTGCTGGTGTAGAATTCCACAGTTAGTGTCAGATTATTGCCAAAACCCCAAATTTTGTACTAGAGTTTGCAGTTAATGTGTGTAAAATTTACCAGCCCATATAGTTTTCTTTTATAAACCTGCTTTTCCCAAAGGAAGTAAACAGATAATAAAACACATGACCTCATATTCCTTGACCTTACTCAGCTAATAAAAATAACTAGTGGCCCGTGGAGGATTGGGCTGTGAGCTATTTACATGGCCATTTCAGGGTCTGGGCTGGTTAATCGTAGAAGCAGTATTCCAAGATGTAGAGATGAGGCTATTCCTGAGTCAGCACAGCACAGCATAGCACAGGACATCATCCTGAATTGTGATAGAAGGTCCCTTCCATTATTAGCAAGTGTGGATTAGGATGATGGATCTCTGTTAAAAAATGCTTTGCCTTGGCATTTATGTAATCCCTGAAAACACCATGAAATACTGAACTTTAATTGGTACTGCAGCAAATGAGAAAACACCTGGGCTATTGGTAGTAGAAAGGTTCCAAAGGAAAAGTAGAGGATACATCCCCGATGTTGAGTGGCTGAAACACAGATGAAGCAAAACAAAGTTTTTAATCCTAGAAAGCACAGCCTGCCCTTAAGTCTGGCATCTGACCTTCTTAATATTGAAACCCTGAAGGGGACATGATCCAGTGCACTTTCTTTAAGAAACTACGTTCAATCTATTGAAGCCGACCTTCTGATTTGTTCCAGGAATCTGCATTCGTCACAAATCCCCCAGGTATTTCTTAATCACAAAAAAGCCTGAGAATCACTGCATTTGGTCTTTAGCACCTGCTATACATGAATGTGTCAGAGATGATGAGGATGGCACGGGAGAGGACAGGGGTCACCTCTGTTGTTCATAGGGTCACTATGAGTCATACTCAACAACATCTAACAACAACAAACATGAATGCAAAATCTGACAGTGTATTTGAGATGCTGATGCAGTACCAAATGTATGGCACTCTCAAACAGAGCACTTACATTGGTCTAAAAATTGGCAGATGAGCACAATGATTAATACTAATTCCTACAGTTAATACGTGTTTCCTTCCACACATAATGATTAATGGCACCCATGGGCAACAAGAAAACAGAGCATAACAGAACATATAACACACAGCTATTGGTCGTGGATTTTTAAGGAAAATACTTTCAAATGCCAAATCCATAATACTATAGGAACTTTCACTTTGAAGGCAGAATAGACTTGGGGAGAGAGGGAAAGGTAAGGAGCTTCTCCTTTTCCCTTTTACTAAGGAGAAGATAGGAAGACCCAGCCCATCCAACCTAGTTCTCCTTATTCTCGGATGTCTTCCAGCTCAGACCCCCATCTCTCAGTGCTTCCACTTACACATCACCCCCTCTCTTGGACCCTCCCAGTGACCCTGTCTGCTCATTGCCTCTTGAAGTAGCAGACAGGCCACCACTGAAGGTCCTGGGAGAAACCCTGCAATGTGAAATCTACTTTGGTGGCACAAGTTCCATTTTCATAGAGTAATACAGAGCTGCATGGCAGTGTGTTTCACTCAATTGTGTTTCAGTAAAATTGGCAAACATGTTGTAAATGAATTAAAGATGCAGAGCCACTGGTGGACTCGAACGCCTAGAGAGGCATGACCTTTTTGATAGCGTAATTCCTTGCAGACGAGGCCACCAAAACCCCTTCAGAGAAATACTCAGAATGTGCCTTAAAAACTTGTTTAAACCCATATTCCCCTTTGACAATCACACACAGAATCAGTGCACATTTAGCAAAATTTTCCCAACTAACATATCTCTTTGACATAAGTCCATTCAAAAGAGACAAGACATCAATCATTACGGATATTTTAGGCCATTATACCAAGCACTGTGGACAGGACGTTGCAGTTTATTGTTGGCACCTGGCATGAAAAGCTGTGTTCTGAATCATGTTTCTTTTGTATGTGATTCTGGCTCGGGACTCCGGTACAGAGCAGCTGAGAAGTAAAGGATGTTGATGAGGCTGAAGATGACACACAGAAGTATGGCTCCAGAGATCTGGAAGAATGAAAGGGGCTGGGAGAAGGCCAGGAGCCATTCCTTCCTCAAGGTCTTGTCCAGAAGTATGGCTTCCATCTGCATGTGTGTGGCCAGGATCACGCACACGTGAAACAGCTGATGACTGTGACCTACAGCAAACACACGAAAGCCAACAAATCAGCCACAGAAATAAAAGCAGCACTGATACAAGCTACAGTATGTGTGCTGAAACAACACACTAGACTAAAGAAGGCAGAGACAAGAGAGCACATACTGGGTGACTGCATTTGTATGAAGCAGTCAAGAAATCAAAAGACATAATGCATTAGACAAACCTGCTGTCAGGGACTTCTTGTGCTGAAGAACAAAGATGTCTGCTAAAGGATTAAGGCACGCCTGTCCCAAGCCATATTTTTTCTTTAATTTTTGCCATGATATTTTTTTTCAACTGCTTCCTGTCCATCTGAAATTTGGATAGTGAATAAGGAAGACTAAAGACGAACTTATGCCTTTGAATTGTGGTATTGGAGAAGAGTGCTGAATATCTCATCGACTGCCAAAAGAACAAACAAATTTATCTTGGAGGATATGCAACCAGAGTGCTCCTTAGAGGAGAGAATGGTGAAGCTTCATCTCACATACTTTGGACATGTCAGGAAATACCAATCCATGGAAAAACACATTATTGACACAGTGACTATCAAAAAGCATAGTGGAAATTGGGAAGATGGTGTAAGATAAGACAAGGTTCTGATCTATTGTTTAGAGAGAGGGTCTTTATGACTCCATAGCACCTAACAACATTCAATTGAAATGTCCACAATAGGAAAAACTATCAAAGACAGAAAGTCAATTAGTGTTTGCCTCAGGAAGGGATGAGGAAGAAGATTATCAGTATATGGCCTACGGGATGATGACGAAAATATTCTAAAACTGGTTATGGTGATGGTTGTACAACCTGGTAAATTAATGAAAAACAAACCAAAAAAATCACTGAATTGTGTATATGAAATGGGAGGATTTTATGATCCAAAAAAATAATTATTTAAAAACTTATTTAAAAACTATAATGTGAGCAAAATTAAAAAGCCATCAGAATAAGTCAATTTCACTTGAAAAAACAACTTATACACTCATCCCACTTTTCAGATGAAAAAGGTAGGTACTACGTTCTTTTTAAAGACCCATCGCTGATAGCCAGCCTGATCTATTCAGCAACAGACATGACCAGAAAACATTCCTCTTTTACAGCTTACTGGACCCCATCTCACAACCCACAGCAGAGGGAGGGACATGCTGATTTGGTGGGGTTCATGAGAAAAGTTCACGGATTGGAATCACTTTGGGGGACAACCATTTAAAACCAGGAGGACGATGAGAATACCACAGAGAAATTAAGTAAGGATTCATCTTTGTTTAAAAATTAAAAGTTCAATATTTCACTGCCAATGTGTATCCCAGGGTTGTTAGGTGCTGTTGAATTGAGTAGAACTCATAGAAACCCTGTCAATAAAAGACCCTGTTCCATCCTGTCCATTCTCACACTTCTTGACACACAGAAGCCCATTGCAGCAGTCACCATGTCAATCCACCCGGTTGAGGGTGAGGCAAAGTCTCATCATTCTTGCCTCCAAATAGCACTCCAGCTCACCCTCTCCAAGATATTTGTTCTCTTGGCTGTCCATAGAATATTCAGTGTTCTTCTCCCACACCTCAGCTCAAAGGCGTAAATTATTTTCCTATGATCCTTATTCATTGTCCAGCTCCCAGATGTATAGTAAGTAATTGGAAAGACTATGGCCTGAATCAGATGTACTTTACTCTTCAAACTGACATCATTACTCCTCAATAATTTGGAGAGGCCCCTGACTGCAGATTTTCCCATTTCAATGTGTCTCCTTATTTCCTGACTGCTGGTGTATATCCCAGGGTAAGTAATTTTTTTAAAAAAATAATAATGTGTCCCAGAAAGGATCCAGTCTTGGGCCACCTCCACTATGGAGCAGAGCAGAGTCAGGAATAAGATTAAAAGAATAAGAATTCTCAAGTGGATGTTTGGTAAGTCCCTTACAACAGGGAGCTCCCGACATCTGGGTCTGTGCCTCCCAGGAGCTCCCGACATCTGGGTCTGTGCCTCCCAGGAAGACCACCATCTCACTCAAGCTATAATAATGGCATGCCTAAGATTCCCAGATCTGTGTAGTAGTCAGCCAAGTAGTTTCTTGTCTGGCAGAGAGTTTTGCTCTGCAAGAACATAGCCTCCAAGCCCTGGCTACACTCACCAATTGAGGCTCACATCTGCCTCAGTTAAGGAGGGCAATAAAAGAATGGGAAAGTTTACCAGTATTGGAGGTGTCTGTAATGTGACTGCAGCTGGAAGAATGATTTCAGCAGGCCTGCCTAACAGAACAGGGAAGGCTTTCCTGTGCACCCCACTCGCATGCCAGCCATGTGAACGTTAGCCCTTTCTACAGTCTCACAGGCTAATCTTAAAGAATCACACATCCAACTGACTATGTTATTGAAGAGCTGAAAGCCTTCTGCTAACGACCGACCCGTCTTGTAAATGGATAAGGTGACTGAAACAAGGGGCACATACTGTGAGGATGTTCACTGTACACAGAGCTGACTTGAGGGCCAATAAGGACCTGTCTGATGGTATTAGGCAAATTTCCCCCAAAGGGGTTTTTCCTCTGCTCAGCAGAGGGGCATTTGGCTGAGTGGTTCCCTGCCTTCCAATAATCGTCCCAAGAGAGAGGGCTACACGTGCAAACAGAACACTAAGTAGCCCAGGACTAGTGTTCCTGCAGCCGCTGAAAACCTCATTCCTGGTTACCTCTGCTTAACCAGAGTGAGGCTGGGGAGGTACATTCAGTGGGCTAATTCCTGTATCCTCCAGTTCTCTGACCCTTCTTTTCCTCCCTTTCTGAAATCTGCCCTTATAAACTTTTTTTTTTTAATTAAAATCTTTCTGGAAGCAAAGAAACAGGATAATACTACTAATCAGATCCAAAAAAACAAACCTAGCCATGGCTCTTACTTAAAAGGAAATGGGAAAACCACGAATGAGATGCGTTTGGGGAGAGCCACAGGGTTCCTGACCATCATCTCTCAAAAAGGCCGATAATCTCAACCCAAAGACTTAGGTCATGAAAGTGACACAAAAGTACCCTCCCCCCAGCCATCCCAAAGCCAGGGTTGGGGGACATTCTGCAAGGCTGTTCCCAGCCTTCCCTGGGAAAGGACTCTATCAGCAGGTGAAAGCCCACCCCTGTCTTGACCACTCATATCTCGGGCTTCACCTGGAGAACCCGGTGGAGGCCCTGTGATTGCCGGTTGGGGTGGGGCCTGAGAGTTGGTGAGTCTAACAGGTTCCCGGGGCATGCTGATGCTGCTCTGGATACCCCACCTGAGGACTACTGCTCTACCAGCAGTCTATCAGTGGACAGTCCCATCAGTGGATACAGTAAAGCCGCCTCCCACCCACCATGAACTAGACAAACACTGTCCCATCTTCTGCACAGCCCCTTGCTGTCCAGGGCCAGTGCCACCTGCACCGTTTCTTTCCTCAATGTTCATTTAACCTGATGTCATGTGCTGGGTAATAAAGGAACCAATCCTGACATACTGCTGAAGCCCACTGCTGTTACATTGATTCCATTTCATTGCAACCCAATGCTGGGCTTCTTTATGGGAGATTACTTATCTTTCTCCCTCAGAGTAAATAGTGGATTCAAACCTCTGACCTTTTGGTTAGCAGTCTGACACCCTATGCCCTATGTCGCTAGAGCTCCTTCACATCCCATAGAAATGCTTTGGCGTCCTGGTCCCCCACCTCCCTCTTTCTCCATAATTTCATAACCTCCATAATCCTCATAATCACTACAGACATCTTGAACCTGCCACCTCACAATCTCACTTCATCTGTGCCTGTGCCTGGAGAATTTGGTAGGAAATGTAAAATAAATGTGTGTCTGGGACAGCGTCATTCTTGAAAAGTTGCTTCTTTCCCTGCTGTGCCTGCTTCTTTGAGCTGGGCATGTGGGTTTCAGAGATAAGACCCCCCACCCCCACCCACCCTGCCCCCGACAGAAGGGCCCTGAGCAGCAGAACCACCACACACTCACCGATGTAGTCAAAGCATCCTGGAGCCAGGCGCTCTGGCAGGTGTGCAGAGTAGAAGAATGAGGCCAGCAGGGTCATGGCCATGTGCTTCTGATGGTACATGCTGGCTTCGTTCTGTGCACTTTCCCCTGGGAACAGGAACAGCTGCAGGGATTCAAAGAAACATCAGATCCTGAGAGGAGGACACGCCTCATGGGAGCTGGGTTTCTTCTCATCATCTGCAGCCAAGACCATGGGGAACTCTGACAACCTCACGTCTCAGACACACAGCGTGGACGTCAAAGGCCAGGGTTCTCATTTCCTAAGCTGTGTGAGGCATGAAGCTGACCTCTCAGGGATTTGTGTGGGCAGAATTCCTCACCTGAGGGTGATGGGTTGAAACCCAGGCAAATGTATTCTAGTTCACTCAGTGCTCATGAGAGCCTTCTGAGTGACTGAATTTCAAAATATTTTTTTTAATGGAAAAAGGAAGGTGAGAAAAGGAAGAAGGTGGGAAGGGAGAAAAGGAGAGGAAAAGAGAAGAAAAGTCCTATTATATCCAGTGTCACCCTGACAGTGAAATGTAAATGATATGATAAAAGGTGATGTATTCAGCATTTCAACATCCTTTCAACCAGCACATCCTCCAGACTCAAGCTCCTAACTAAGACTTAACCACACTAGTCGCAACTGAGTCAGTGTCAACTCAGGGCAAGTCCAAGTGCATACTGGAACTGCACCCCACAGAACTTTCCAGGCACAGATTGCCAGGCTTCTCCTCCAAGGCTTTTCCTCTGGGGGAGTTTGAACTCTCAACCTTTTGGTTAGTATCTGAGTGCCTAACCTTTTGCACTACCCTCAACAAAAAGAATGCTACTCACTGCCTTCAAGCTGGGCTGCCTACCATGGAGTGTTGAAGACAATAATCATTGTGGAAGCTGATTACCACATCTTTCTTCTTCAGAGCAACTGGTGGTTTCAAACCACTGACCTTTTGGTTAGCAACTAAGCACATTAACCACTTCATCACAATGGTTCATTCCTTTCAATACCACCCAAACTCAAAAAACACACCTCCACTGAGCGGATTTCATCTCACAATGACCCTTCATCAGTCTGCCAAAGCCTGATCCCAATGGGGAGATACCGCCCATCTTCATTGCAAAGAGCTGCCAGTGGATTCAAGCTGCCGGAACCTTTGGGTTTGCAGCACAACACTGCATACTACACCACCAGAGCTCCTTCTGTACCACCTCCTATGTACTATCTAGTCAGACCGACTTACCGCTGACCCTCCACTGGCTTCTTGAGGCAGTAAATCACGTATCGTTTATCTTTCTCTGGGGTAGATGAGTTAGTTGGTGGATTCAAACTAATGCCTTTGTGTTGATAGCGCAACTTCTTACCACTATGCCACCAAAGCTCCCTTCTGTCATACCACTTATTGTCATTGTGTGCCATTGAGTCAGAACTGACCCATAGCTGACTCTCCAGCAGGTTTTTAGACATCAGTAAATCACACGGGAGTAGATTGCCCATCCTTCTCCCACAGAGCAGCCGGTAGATTCAAACTTTGTAACTTTGGGATTGCAGGGCAGCTTCTAAGAACCAGACCACCAGAGTTCTCTCTGCATCACCTGTTGTTAGGTGCCATCAAGTTGAGTATGACTCAGAGGGACTCTATGAACAACAGACCTGAACCCTGTCCTGTCTTGTGCCATCATCATCATCATCATCATCATCGTCATCGTCATCGTCATCATCTCTGATACACTTGAGCCCATTGCTCCTGTTACTGTGTCAATCTACCTCATTGGGGAGTTTTCCTCTCTTTCATTGACCCTCCACTTTTCCAAGTATGATATCCCTTTCCAATAAATAGTCTCTCCAGCAACATGTCCAAAGTATGAGAGACAAAATTGTATCATTATTGCCTCTAAGGAACACTTTAGTTGCATCTTTTCCAAGACATATCTGTTTGTTCTTTGGCAATCCATAGGATATTTAGCACTCTTTTCCAACACCACAGCTAAATTGAAAAGACCATGGCCTGAATCAGACACATCTTAATCTTCAAACTGGCATCATTGTTCTTCAGCATTTTGGAGAGGTCCCTGACACCAGACTTGCCCAGGCTATTAATGAAGTTCCTTTGATCCTTCTGCCACATTACTATTCATAGAGTCCAGCTTCATGAGTTATTTGCTCAGCATATAGACTGAATAAGTGTGGAGAAAGGATACACCCCTGACATGCACCTTTTCTGATTTTAAACCCGGCAGTACTACCTAGCTCCATTCAGACAACAGCATCTTGATCTAGTTACAGATTTCTCCAGAGCACAATTAAGTGTTCTGGGATTCCCATTCTTTTCAACGTGAGCTATAATTTGTTATGACCCACACAGTCAAATGTCTTTGTATAGCCAATAAAACACAGACATTCTTACGGTTTTCTCTGCTTTCACCAGGATTCATCTGACATCAGAAATGATATCTCTAGTTCCACGGCCTGTTCTAAACCCATCTTGAACTTCTGGCAGCTCTCTATCAATGTACTGTTCCAGCCATTTTTGAATAATGTTCAGCAATATTTTACCTGCATGTGATGTTGGTGATATTGTTTGATAACCCTTCTAGGGATGAACAATTAAGACTTCAAGGCTCAGAAATCCCTGCAAGGTCTCCAAGACACAAAAATGATCTAATTACAGTCACTGCACTATTTTAGCACGAATGTTATTTCTATAATATCATTATAAATAATAATAGTGACTTGCTCTAACTTAGGACACTAGGCCATCCTCTTTATTTGCATTTCCTTTGAGCCTCAACAATAATTAAAAGATGGGTGAAAAAGAAAACAAAACCCATGGCTGTGGAGTCTATTCATACTCACAGCCACCCATGTAACAAAGTGGAACTGTCCTGTAGGGTTTCCGAGCCTGTAATCTTTACAGAAAGAATCCTGGTAGCACAATGGTTAATTACTTAGCTTCTGACTGAAAAGCTGGCAGTTGAAACCCACTAGCTGCTTGGAAGGAAGAAAATGTGGCAGTTGGTCTCTGCAAAGATTCTAACCTTGGAAACACTACGGAGCTGTTCCGATCTGTCCTGTGCGGCCACCATACATTAGATCAGCTTGATGGCAATAAGTAATCTCTTTAGCAGACTGACACATATTTCCCCTGTGGACTAGACCTTTTTCTCTCATTGCCAACAAGTCATAACTGACTCATGGTTTTCAGAGGCTGTACATTGCACAGGAGGGGATTGTCCATCTTGCTGGTGGATTCAAACCACCTGCCTTTGGTTTGGAGGCACAACTCTGTATCCTCTACACCACAAGAGCTCCCTTGAGGAGTAGCTTGCTCATCTTTCTCCCACAGTGCAGCTAGTGGGTTTGAACCCTATACCTCTGGGTTGGCAGCACAGCTCCTTACCACTAAGTGACTAGAGCTCCCTTGAGGAGTACCTAGTGTGTTTAAATCATTGACCTTTTGGTTAGCAGCTCAGTATTTAACATGGGGCCACCAGAGTAGCTAGGCAGACCCTATTGTTGTATGCTGTTCAGTGGGAACCAATTCATAGCTGATATTCCAATGGATTTTCAGAGGCAGTAAATTGCACCAGAGGAGACTGCCCATCCTTCTCCCTTGGAATAGGTGGTGAATTTGAACCACATGCCTTTGGGATGGCAATGCAGCTTCTTACCACTGGGCCATCAGAGCTCTGTTATTTTTAGGTGCTATCAAGTTCAGTTTGACTCAGCAACCCTCTGAACAGCCTTCCTGAAATCTGCCCTATCCTGTTCCATCCTCACCATCTCTGAGACACTAGAGCCCATTGTTGAAGTCACAGTGTCGATCCATCTCATTAGGGGTCTCCCTCTCCTTCCCTGACCCTCCATCTTTCCAAGTATGATGTCCTTTTCCAAGCAATAACCTTGCCTAGCTACATGCCCAAAGTATGAAAGATGAAGTTTTGTCATCCTTGCCACCAGTGAGCACTCTGGTCTCACCCTTTCTAGGATATCTGTTTGTTCTTTTGGCAGTCCGTGGGATACTTAGTACTCTTCTCTAGCATCACAACTCAAAGGCCTCAATTATTCTTCTGTCATCCTTATTCATTATGCAGCTCTGTAATGCATAACAGGTGATTGAGAAGACCCTGGCCTGAATCAGGCACACCTTAGTCTCTAGCCTGACATCATTGCTCTTCAGTATTTTGGAGAGGTCCCTTAAAGGAGACTTGTCCAATGCAGTATGTCTCTTGATTTCTTGACTGTGGGAACTAAGGGTGTTGACTGTTGATCTAAGCAAAATGAAATCATTACAGCTTCAATCTTTTCTCCATTTTTGTAATGCTGACTGTTGGGCCTGTGGTGAGGATCTTTGTCTTCTTGATGTTGAGATGATCTATAATGAAGGCTGTAGTCGTTGATCTTCTGAAGCAAGCACTTCATATCCTCCTCACTTTTAGAATGCAAAGTTGTGTCATCAGCATAAAGCAGGTTGTTGATAAGTCTTTCTCCAATCCTGATGCCACACTCTTCTTCAAAGAGTATGGCTTTAAGACTTTTTATTAGCTCAGCATACAGACTGAATAGGTATGGAGAAAGAATACAACCCTGATGCACATCCTTCCTGATTTTAAACCATGTGATACTCTGTTCTCACAACAGCTTCTTGGTCTAGGTATAGATTCACAATTAAGTGTTCTGGGATTCCCATTCTTCTCAATGTGATCTATAGTTTGTTATGACCCATGCAGTCAAATGCCTTTACATAGTCAATGAAACTACTAACCTCATTTACATATGAGGAAACTGGCCCAAATTGGCTAACTGATGTACAAACCACTAAGAGGTGGCAGAGTCTGGATGTGAATCCAGTCAGGCTGGTTCCAGAGCCTGTGTCCTTCACAACTCTACCTAGAGTTGGCCTTCTGTCTTCACTGTTCCTGATCAATCTGATGCAACTTCGAGCTGGAAGTACCCAGTGATCAGAATCCTAGAATGCAGCGCTGTCGTTGAGGTAGGAGCAGGGGACAGTGCTGCGTGTCCCCATCTCTGGGTCTTCTCCAGGCCCCCATAGCTGAGGAGAGGGAATGAAGGATCTTCCCTGGGTTGTCTGGACCTCATGAGAACCCCCCACAGGGAGGCGAGGGGGACTCTTCCTACTGAATGCTGGCTTTTAAAAAAAATTTATTTTTTTTCTTACAGATTTTTTTATTAACTTTTAGAAAATTTCTGTTCCATACAGTCCTTCATTTACATGATATTTCGTTCATTTATATATTTTTCCTTTTTTAAATTTTTTTAACATTAATTTTAATGAACGTTTACAGAGATTTTGGATTTCCATACATCGATTGTTGCATTTTTCTCCCTACCCACCCCTCCCCCTAGTTCACTCTTCTCTTTGAAAAGTAAAAGAAAAATTATTTCATTGGTCTAGCTGGCTTTGTGCCAGGTGTCCTGAGTTCTTCAGACTCACTGTTTCCCTTTAATCTCACTATCGTCCATCTCCATGGAGGTGTTAGCCTCATTCGTAGATAGGGAAACAGGAGCTCTGAGAGGCTGTTACACTGCCTGAGGCCACACAGCCAGTGAGCGGTGAGACTAGGATTGAAACTCACATCCACATGATTTGAGAATACGTGGACTTTCCCCTTTCTTGTTCCTCTTCTACATCCTCATCCTTCATAGTCTTTGATTCCTGTCTATCCTTTAGAGGCCTTCTTCTATCATGCCTTTTTCCTCAATACCAATGACGAAGCTTTGTCTCACACACCTTGGCACTGTTTTAGGAAGGCAGCTTCCTTGGAAAGGAACTTCATACTTGGAAAGATGGAGAGTCAGTGTAAGAGAAAAAGACCTTCAACAAGATAGACTGACACAGTGACTGCAGCAAGGAGTTCAAGGATGGCGCAGGGTTCAGAGCTGTTGTTCAGAGGGTCACTGTGGGTCATACTCGACGCGAAGACACCAAACAACAATAACACAGTTACTGTTACAACAGTAATAGTGTGTTATTGTTGTTGTCAAATACTGTCATTAACTATGACTTATAGCAGCGATGATACAAAGAAGCTTTGTCAAAACTTTGGCCTCTCCTGCACCTCTCCTCATCATGACCCCTGCCCGGCCCAAGCCCACTGAGCAGTCTCTGTGTCAGTCCCTCTCGTTGAGGGTAATATATAATAATGTGTTTATCAGACACTTACCACAAGGCAGCAGCTTACCTGTTGCCTTACTTAATCTTCCCCACTCTGGTGGGAGGAGGTGCTATTATAATATTCATTTTACAGGTGAGGAAAATTGTTGCTAAATCTTCCCAGAACTTGCAGCAAGAGAGTATTAGAGTTACTCTAGGGGACCCCAAGTCACATCAGACTTGGAGGAAGTGCAGGGCGCTCCTTGGAGGCAAGGATGGTGAAACTTGTTCCTTGTACTTAGGGCATGTCGTCAGGAGGGCCAAGTCCTTAGAAAAAGACATCATGCTGAGAGGTGTAGAGGGTCAGTGAAAGGTAGGAAGACCTTCAAGGAGATGGACTGACACAGTAACCCCCAAAATGGACTTGAACATGACAGAGATTGTGAGGATGGTGCTGGACAAGGCAAGGCTCAGTTCTGTCAGTCACAGGGTTGCTGTGAGCCAACAGCAAGGGGACCCCAGGTGCCTCCCCTGCTCAGCTCTCCATAATGCTCCACATCCCCAGTCAGCACTGTGTGCTGGTGCATCTCCTTTTGTTTGTGGGCCCACCGTGGCCATGCCATCTCCTAATGCATTAAGACCACCCCGACATCCTAATTCCCCTGCATGTCCTACAGTGCCCAGCACAATGCATTCACCTGGAGGAGCTCAGAAATAGCTGACTCCCCATTGCCTTTGTGGCTAAGGAGAAGCAGTCAGGTCACTTACTCGGTAGAAGATGGGGAAGGAGTCCCAGGTGTAGGGATAAGCAAAGGCGAGGACGCGAAGAATCTTGCAGAGCCTGGGCTTCTGGATTTCAAGAAACCTAAACCGAGGGAGGAAGAGAGAGAAATGGCAATGAAAAGTTCCATATTTTAACACATGTACACAGTATAAAATACACAGTGTGCTACCCAAGAGAGTTGGACAATGGAAATAGCTAAGGGCTAATATATAATCAATAGTGATGATCATTTTCTTACAACTTCCAACTGTTGGCAGTGTTTCCCCCAGCCTTTTCTAATTCTACCTTGATGGAAGTGACTCGACCCCAGATGTGTAAAGATTTCAAGGGACTACATCTCTTGATACTATGAGGAACAACAGTATGTCAATAAAGTATCAATAGTACCACAAAAGTACATTAATAAAGCCAGGAAGGAGGGACTGGGAAGAAAGACTTGTTTTAAAGATGGCGAAGAGCCTTTTAAATACTCAGTAAGCAATTAGAGACTTTGAGAGAGACAGCACGTTGGTCCCAGCAGCACAGACACCTCAGACAAGTATGCTGTGAAGGTTAAGATACACTTAACGACCACGCTTGTACACAGACGAAATGTGTGTCTTACAGCTTCCGCAAAGCACACAACACATGTTAAATGCACGTGCTAGTTACATTCACAGATGATTTATGTGAAAAAGAACAATTGGGCCTCCCAGATGATTGATTTTCATGAAGGAATTCTGAGACTTAACTACGCATTTCATCATTTTGAGTGGGGTTTGGAATATTTAAGTCACCACCCATAAAAGCATGCTCGATGTCCAGGGGAAATGGGTGAAGTATGAAGTCTCCTTTCTCTGCCCTCTCCCAATCCACCACCACTCCAAAGAGAAGTGAAGTCAACCTTGAAAGGAGTGATGCTGATTGCTCATAGAAAGGTAAGTCCTCCGAGATCAGACAAGGTGTCAGCTGGCCGGTGGAGGTGGGACAGCACCGACAGACACACCAGGAGGACGTGGAGAATACAAATGACAAAGCCATTCACAGAACACTATGGCCTAGAACCTTATCTCAGGGAGAGATATGTTCTTGTGCCCAAGCTGTCCCACCAAGGCCAAGTAGCATGGGAGGTCCCTCTTTGATACTACAGTGTATTGCAAGGGCTTGGGACCCCTGATACTCATGGGATTGGAGGGTGAGACCAGAGTCTCCAGTAACACAGGAGTTATGTAATACCAAGATGCAAAGACTCTTGTGTGTGTTGGAGGGCGGGAGCACTGTTTGAATGCAGTCGGTGGACAGGGGAGAAACATTTAAGCCCTTCTCAGATTCAACTTATAAGTGTGACACTCATCACCCTTTCTAGGAGGGACAGGGTCTATGTCTTGTTGCCATCATTGTCTCTAGACACTCTTTCCCAGTCCGCAAACCTGGCCTTTCTCCTTCAAACGTAGCCCCTGACTCCTCCCCCTGCACCCCAGGCCACTTTTTTCTAGCCAGGCTGCTTACATCTTGCCCACTGGGGCACCAGGGGCTGTGCCTTCACCTCCAGGTGGTGGGGCTCTCAAGAGCAGAAGAGGATCTACCCAGTCCAGCTCCACAGCTTGTCTGAGCCTATGGATTTGACCAAGCTGTTGCTGTCCAGTCCTCAGGGCTGCGAGCAAGGGCTGCCTGATGAAGAGCCAGACCTTTTTCTGGAGGAAGAAGCCAGCACTGTGGGCCATGTGAAGCCCCCTAGACTCCTCGAGTCCACATTTATGCTTCTCCTTTCCTGACACTGGTTAGAAATTAGAAGCCCATCGTAGATTCCAGGTAGAGAAAGAAGAGGAAATGCCCAGAGGAGGAAGAGGAACAAGCGACCTCAGTCCATTACCTCCTCAAACACGAAGCTGAGTCATGGATAAAGCATGAACCCCAGGAGGGGTCAGGTAGGACGGTGCTGCAAAAGAGGTGACTTCATGTGGCATGTTGGAACTGGATGAACATGTTTGAATCCCAGCTTTGCCATTCATGACCATGTGATCACATGACCACAAAGGTCACTTTAAGTGCCTCAGAATGTGAGTGTGTACCACAGGGGACACTGAACAGATGGGATGAGATGATACTCAGAGGCATTAGAAGATGCAGAGAGTAAACTTAAAGGGAAAAAAAGAAAGAAAAAGGAACTGTTGTGAGGATCCATTTTCTCTCTTTCCCAATCTTGTAACTAAGTTGTAACAGAAAACAGGAACAGACAGGGTTTGCCTAGAGTCAGATGAGTTAATGAGAGGTGACACTAGGATTTAAAGCCAGGTCTGTTTGACTCTATGGACTTGTTGCTAACAGAGGCTACTCCTTGGAGAGGGGCTTGGAAAAGTGGAGGGTTAGTGGGAGAGATGAAGACCTTCAACCTGGTGGATCGACACAGTAACTGCCACAGTGGGGCTCCAGTGTCAGAGAGTGTGAGGATGGCACATGATAGGGCAGCAGTCAGATCTGTTCAGAGTCGCTATGAGTTGTATTCATAGGAACATAATAACAACAACATCTGGCTCGAAGTTTCACACCCTTTGTCCTCTTCAACCTTCAGACCACCACCTTTACCCTCACACACATGACCAGAGGTCCCAAAACACACTCCCTGCCTGTTCCGCCTTCTTCGTGGACTGGCAGAACCTCCCTCCAGCCCCCAACCGCAGCCAGCCGCTCCCCCCTTCCTCATGCACTGCCGCCTTCACCACCTGCAATTTCTGAGTTAAAAGAGACAGGATGCTAAAGCCTGCTTCTTCCAGTGGCCACTTACACACTATGAAGGCAGGCTCTGGCTCCTGAGGGCCATGCCCCCAAGCATGGATTTCCTGTGACAACATTCTGAATAAATTCTTCCCCAGGGGCAAATGCACCAACCTCTCCTGCTGCAAAGCCAATGAGTCTACAGGGAGGGAAAGAAAGAAAGAGAAAAACTGACCTGGAAAGAGCAACAGAGGAAGGGGGGAAAGCAAGAAAGCAGTAGCTACAGAGGAGGCGCCCTCTACTGCGGTGCAATCCCGAATCCAGCCACAGGGCACCGCCACAGGGCAGACATTAGGGAAGTGAGAGGCGGCAGTCCCAGCAGACCCACAGCCCCAGTGGGAAAAGTCTACAAAGCCCGCAGCTTAGGGCAGTCCCTGCAGCCCCACATTGAAGGGCGGACATCCTCCGCCCAGAAGGCTGATGGAAAGATGAGTTTCAGCAAAACGCCTCCTCCATTCAATACTAGTTTGTTGTCAAATCTGGCAAATCTCATGGCAACAAACAGGAAGGATTAGCAGCTGGAATTTTGGAACTACTTGCCTGAAGCTAGTGGGTCTTTGGCTGTGGATTCGAAAACTCTTCTTTCATGGCAGACACTAGGGGCTAGGTGGTGGGGTGTTATTGTCCAGGTGGTTTATTGTTTGGGAAAATTGCAGATACATGCTGTCTCCAACTGTCTGCTCGCAGCATCAGCAGCACCCTGCCGTCTTGTCAAGCTCTACACCCAGCTCTGACCTCTGAGGCCCCTTTCAAGTCTGTTCCATGCCTCCCTCTTGTCCATCCTGGCACTGCTCTGTAATTTCTACTTCGTCATCCCATGAGGCAGGTCACTTCCTGCAGGGAGGAAAATTCATCTCTCCTCCCTTACTGCAGAGACTACAGGATTGTACTCAGTATTTATATGGTGTTTTTTTTTTTTTTTAAAAAAAAGGGATGGATGAGCTAAAAAGTGACTATGGTGACTTGTACAGCAAACAACAATGTTTCTATAGGGAGTGAAGGCACTTTCCAGGGTTTTGTGGGTGACTGACATGAAAAAGGAGACTGGAGTCTCTTTCATTCTACCTTATGCCAAGCGCCATAAGGAAGTCATGTAGTTTTTGGTGCCCCTTCTCAGAAGTCACAGAATGAGAAAGCCGTTTTCTAAAGCATGTTCATTTGAACTAAATCTCATGATACCAAAAGCTGGTTGCCATGAAGTCATTTGAGAAGGGACTTCTCATCCTCATGTGTTAAAAGAGTAGAAGCACTCTATCAGGCTTTCTTGTCTGTAACCTCTATAGAGGGGAGCTCTGGTGGCCTAGTGGTAAAAAGCCACACCACAATCCCAAAGGCAGGTGATTCGAATCCACCAGCAACTCTATGGGAGAAAGATGAGCAATCTCCCACTGGAGGGTCAGCTATGTGTCAGTCCCAACTTGATGGCACACAGTGACAATCTCAATTGAAGCGGGCAGCCAGTTCCTTCTTATGGTTGTGGTATGGCTTCAAATCTCCCATCTTTAGGTTAGTTGTTATTAGATGCTGTCTTATCAACTACGGCTCGTAGCAACCCTATGAACAATGGTTCTGAATCCTTCCCTATCCTGTGCCATCTTCATCATCTCTGACACACTTGAGCCCACCATGACAGTCACCATGTCAGTCTATCTTATTGACTCTCTTCCTCTCCTTTGCTAACCCTCCACCTTTCCTAGCATGGTATCCTTTTCCAAGGCCTGGCCTCTCCTAACAGCATGCCCAAATTATGTAAGATGAAGTATCACTATCTTTAATTCCAACGGGCACTCTGGCTGCACCTTTTTCAAGACTGACTTGTTTGTGCTTTTGGTTGGTGGAGGAGGACAGTCCGTTCGTGCCACTCAGGGTTCTGTTGCATGAGAGGTACCATCAAGTTGATTCATAACCTACATGTGTCAGAGTAGAACCAACCTCCGCAGGGTTTTCAATGGTTGGGTTTTCAGAAGCAGAGTACTAACTAGGCTTTTTATCTGAGGTGCTTCTAGTTGGACTCGAACCTCTAGCCTTTGTATACAGCTGAGTACAATAGCCATTTTCACTACCCGAGCATTCTTATTCCATGATAATATATATGAGTCGAGAAATCATTCAGGAGACTATAAAATTCTAATGCTGAGATTTACTTTAATAGTGGGTGTTATAATAGAATGAGTGCAATTTCAAATCTATTTTCTGGCAAGCATTTGAGAATTCATGGTCTCCTGAGCTCAGGAAGGAGGAGGGAGGGGCAGAGCTTGGAGGAGAAATACTGAGAAGATACTGACACACTACATCCCCAGGCTTAACATGGTGCCTGGAGCACAGCA